TACTCCCGAGAAGTCCCCCACCCGAAGAGCAACTGTCAAAGAGCAGATTGAATGCTGATTGTTTCATTCATACAATGCAAAACCTGCGTAACATCAGTGTCACTCCTATAGTTGGAGCCGACTTCCTTCAACTTCCCCGGGCCAATCGTCAATGACATCATGACATCATCCGAGCCCACCAAAGTGAGACTCACCCACACACGCATGCACTTGCGCACATAGCGTAAAAACTCAACAAGTAAGCATGGGGCATGCGTACATGCAAGATGGGTTGATCACAAACATATCCAGAGAACACAGCAAACAAAGTCTGAATCTGAATCTTTAGCTGCAAAAACATCAACGGGACAATGGACAGGATTTTCTCAGAAAAGTGCAGAGTTCTTGCACATCACAAAACAAAAACGATGCTGTGAAGGTAATGGCTCCCCAAACAAAACACTCGAAGATAAGGGAAAAAAAGGCTCGGCGGCATATGATAGGGCAGTTCCTTATGCTTTTTCTTTCTTTTGTGCTTTTTTTCCTTTTCTGTTTTTGCGGGCGAAGCCGCAACGGGTCATCTAGTTATTATTATTATTACTATTATCAGGGTTGCCGGCGTTCGGGATGGGCCGAACGCCCGAACACCCGAACCCTCCCTATAGTTTTTTTTTCGGATTATTATGATTATTATTATTATCAGGGTTGCCGGCGTTCGGGACGGGCTGAACGCCCGAACGTACGGGACCCCTTCGGAAGGCGTTCGGCCGTTCGGGCCGAACGCGGGCCAAAAAAAAAAAGAAAAAAAAAAAGAAGTTTTCCAAAAATTCCCAAAAAAACATATGTTATGAAAACAAATAAACTAAACAACATTTTCCTGGGCACTGCATCCAAATTCTTTACCAAATTTGAATTAAAAATCAAATACAGAAAATAAACACTATGATAAAAATAAGAAAAAATAAAAAAAGAATTAAAATGAGTGAGTGTGCCGGCACCTTTTCGACACCACCATCTTTGCCGATTTTTAATTATTTTTTGGCATTGACAAATGCCCTGAAAATTTACAGATATGTAGTTCACATAATCAATAACTCGTTAAAAAATTTTCAAAAAATAATAAAATGTTTTAGGCCCCGAAATAAAGTGAAAACAAAAAGTTAAAAGTGAAAAAAAACAAAATAGTGAGTGGGCGAGCACGTTTTGACACCCCCATCTTTGACGATTTTTAATGTTTTTTTGGCTTAGCATAATGGCTTCAAAATTTATAGGCGTGTAGGTTACATCATAGAGAACTCACAAAAAAAAATTCAGAAAAAAAACTTATTTTTAGGCCCCGAAAAGTTTTTTGGCGGGGGCCGAACCTGGAGGTGTTCGGCCTCCGAACAGGACCCCGAACGCCCGAACGTTCGGGGGCCAGCCCAGGGCCCCCCAAACGTTCGGTCAGGTAACCCTGATTATTATTATTATTATTATTATTATTATCAGGGTTGCCGGCGTTCAGGACGGGCCGAATGCCCGGAACCCGAACGCCCGAACGTTCGGCACCCCCTCTCGACGCGTTTGGCCGTTCGGCTGAACGCGGATCCAAAAAAAAAAAAAAATCTGGACAAATATATGTTATGCAGAAGAATAAACTAAACAACATTTGCCTCAACGTTACATCCAAATTCTTTACCAAATTTGAAATAAAAATCAAATACTAAAACTAAATAATAATAATAATAAAAAGTAGAAAAAATAAAACGAGAATGAAATTATTGAGTGGGGGAGCACATTTTTGACACCGCCATCTTTGGCGATTTTTCTTTTTTCTTTTTGGCTGGGACAAATGCCATGAAAATTTATGTATGTGTATCTTACATAATTGAGAATCTACATATAAAGTTTGAAAAAATAATAGTTTTTTTCATGCCCCGAAATAAAGGAAAAACAAAAAGTGAAAAGAGAGAAAAAACAAATTAGTGAGTGGGCAAGCAAGTTTTGACACCACCATCTTTGCCTATTTTTCATTTTTTTTTGGCTGAACAGAATAGCTTCAAAATTAAGAGGGACATACCTTGTACCACAAAGAACTCACAAAAAGAATTTCAGTAAAAAATAATAATATTTAGGTGCCGAAATAAGTTTTTGCGGGGTCCGAACCCCTTCAGGTTTGGGCCCCGTACGGGGACCCGAAGGCCTGAACGTTCGGGTCAGCTTAGGGGCCTCCGTACGTTCGGCCTGGCAACCCTGATTATTATTATATTTTTGCTGAGACCTTCCATGGTCCTTGCATGGCCGGGCCGCTCGGGAGAACAAGGTGACCCAGGCGGCCCGACTGGTAGCCTAGGTGCGTACGGTATTCTATACCGTTCTTTTTTTTAATTTAGAGCGTTTCTCGATATATGTGTGTCCTCCCTGCGCAGTGGCCATTTGCTAATTTACCCCTCTCTATACAGTTCCAATTTTAATGGTATTATATATGCCCGTTTCCTAATTCTGCGGTTCTGTTATATTTATTTGGGGAACTCTAAACAGACTGGCATGCTCTCCATGCGGGTCGGGACATCAAGAGGGCTTCCGGGACCCTTGTAGGCCACAGCCAGATCTTGAGTTCTCCAAAAGGCGCTGCCTACTGGCCCAGTTGGGATACCGGCCTCCCAGTATAGGGACAGGCCGGGCAGTGAGCATCACAATCCCGTCAGGTAGTGCTATGGGCTGCTTGGACGCAGGGTTGTAGAAGCAGCAGCGCCAACAGCAATGCCAGTGCCTGAGAGAGGAAAAGGCGGCGCGAGCCATATTTGTGCGCCACACACACACAAACACACACACACACACACACCCACACCCGCGCACACACACCCCTCCTGATGAGTCGGTGAAAGTCCAACGAAACAATCTGGCACAGTCATGCTTTTTTTGAGTGTATAGCGAATATGACAACACGCACACACACACACGCACACACTCACACACGCACAACCTTGCACTTCCCGCTCAAGCACACAAATGTGGGGAACCTTGCGCTTTCTATTATATTGCCCGCCTGTACTTTTTTTTGTTCTATGGATGGTTTATGGTGATCTGTGGATGGAATGGGAGAGAGAATTCGGGGGGCACACAACCTCCTGACGTGTTGGTGAAAGTCCTAAGAAACAGTCTGGCACAGTCATGCTGTTTTGTGGAGTTGTGTATAGCTTATACAGCAACATACACATACATACAGACACACACACACACACAGACACACAGAGAGATAGATAGATAGATAGATAGATAGATAGATAGAGATAGAGATAGATAGATAGATAGATAGATAGATAGATAGAGAGAGAGAGAGAGAGAGAGAGAGGTGGCACAATGAGGGGTAGTCCTCGGAGGAAGGGGGAGTGATAGGGAGAGGGAGGGTTGGTAAGGGTAAGGGACGTCTGCCAGCCACCAAGAAGAGCTCGAATGTGTGCTAGATTCTTTGCTCAGACATTGGTTGGAGCAGCATTGTATTCTGTGGCATTCTATCTGAGGCGTAGCGCAGTCTGGAGGAGTAGATACAGTAGATATGATCGCATAGGCTGGTAGTGAGATGAGGCTCCCTCTCCCTTAACAGCCCTATAGGCTAGTCTTTGTGACAATATATATGGGCCACATCTGCTTTCCCTGTGACTGCAGACATTCTGGGATTTTCAGCTGTTCTGGTCTGCTGTACAGCAATACACTTAAGCCAAAGTGATTGTCACGTGTGTGCGTGTTGCCATGTTCGACTATACCCAGCTCCACAGGGGAAAAAAGCTGTGTGTGTGTGCGTGTGTGTGTGTGTGTGTGTGTTGCCATGTTCGACTGTACGCAGCTCCACAGGGGAAAAAAGCATGACTGCACCAGACTGTTCCGTTGGACTTTCACCAATTCATCAGGAGGTTGAACCTGGACAGACAGTCTGTCCAGGATGCATTTGACTGATGGATAAGGACTTGACACGGCTCCCAGAATTAGTGACACCCCTGAGAAAAGTGGTCGACGTCACTCAGGCCAGCCCTGTAATCCTAGCAGACTGTCTGTCCAAACCCCTGATAAGAATGACAGTAAGTCTGAGAAACTAGTCTGTCACAGCCATAACACCCACTCCACACACCCACTCAGCCATGGATACCCAACGACACAACTGCTTCCACGTCCCGAACCTAGCCGCATCAGGCATTCTGAATGGAGAGCTTAGCAAGGCTGTGTTGTGTGTGGTCATGTTCGGTACACACAACTCCACAAGAAAAACATGACTGTGCCAGACTGTTTCATTACTTGGTTTTGTAGTACAGTGTTGACGAGGGAGAGGAGGAGAGAGGCAGAGGAGGTGGTGAAGGAGATGGATGAGGTTGAGGTGGGAGGAGAGGTAAGTATTTTTTCAAGTCTATAACGGACGTGGCCTTGTGCTATATTGGTCATCTTTAACAGAAATCCAAATGAATTTGTTTGTAAACTGAGCCAGGTTCAAAATGTGTAGTTCGGTACGTGATGCTGTGTGATGGGCGCCTTCTGCGATGTGCTGTGTTCGAAAGGAAAGGTACTTGATCACCTTCTTCACCCGAATACAACGTACGGTCATTATCACTGTATCTAGACTCCGAGTTGCCCCAAATACAGCTATAATGAAGGTACGCTGTATTCGGGTGAAGATTGTAGTTGTCTTTTGTCCTCTAGTATCAATCTCAGAAGTGTTACTCTCTTAGGCTAAATGCTATTAATGGGGAGAGTAAGGACCTCGCTGCACTACTCCACATTCTACATGCATCTGTACTCTATTTTGGACCATGTACATTTGGAATTTTGGACTGAGCGGGCCCCAAGTCCAATGATCAAAGGTTAGGTACCCAGTTCTTTCAATGTCTCTCTCCCCTTCGCTGTTTTGAGTTTTTCGATTTCCCCGTCCCCTTTCCCTCTCACGTTCTGCGCTCACAGCCCTTGTTTCCGTGTCACTTGTTTTGTTTTTTTTTTTCCCTGGTTCGTCTCCACCTCACTTTTCGGTTTTTGGTTTGTGTGAATTTGGGCAGCATGGAGGTCGGTCGAATGCGTACACAACGGCAGAGCATACTAACTTTCAATTTGACATCAACTATGATCATCTAGAAGAAGCGCTCGACAGGTACAGCTTGATCACGAAAACCCTAATCATCATCATTCACTTGAAAACTGGATCGCAAAACTGGATCGCAATGTGTTTTTGATGGAATGAATGAAGAGAAGATACAAGGGAGGGGGGATTTTTTGCTGTGGGGATGGATGCTTGTGTGGTGGAAGGAGGTATCGGGCATGAACCACCTGCACATAATAACTATTAAGAAGGTGCGTCACTGGGCAACAATGAATTGAGAATTTGAGAGTATTTGTCCTGGCAGTGAATTTACCCAGAGTGAATCTTCCTCCAGGCAGTGAATTTATCCAGACTGTGAATTTTTGTTCAGACGGTGAATCTTTATCCAGATGGTGAATTTTTATCAAGGGGGTCAATTTATCCAGACAGTGAATTTATTCAGAGAGTGAATTGTTATCCAGACTGAATTTATCCAGACACTGGCAGACTCTGAATTCTTATCCAGACTGCCTGAATTTATCCAGACAGTGACTTCTTATTCAGACTGTGAATTTAATAATTTATCCAGACTGTGAATTTTTCCAGACGAGTGGAGGCCAACTGAGACTATGCAGTGCCATAAAAATGAAGATGTAGAATACCTGGGGTGAACCCCTCCCTCTCTCCCTCCCTCTCTCCGTGCTTCCCCATCTCCAAAGATCCAGAGCTTCTGATCCATTTGAGAAACTTGATTACAATGTGCATTTTGACGGAGTTTAAAAGAAGGTACAAGGCGGGTTTTTGCTATGTGTATTTTAATGGAGTAGAAAAGGAGGTACAAGGGGTATCTTTGCTTTGGATGGATGCTTGTGTGGGTGGAGGGATCAGTTCTGCAACATCTAGAAATGATTATTAACAAGGTTCATGGAAGAATATGGACTTGGGGGCTGGAGGGAGAGATGGAGACACACACACACACACACACACACACACACACACACACACACACACACACACACACACACACACACACACACACACACACACACACACANAGAGAGAGAGAGAGAGAGAGAGAGAGAGAGAGAGAGAGAGAGAGAGAGAGAGAGAGAGAGAGAGAGGCACACAGAGGAGGAGTTCTGTGGCAATATGTTTGTGTGGAGATGAGCACGGTCTGGTTTCACATTTCTTGCATATGCTTGATTGGACTTGGATGCAGATTTGCGCAGTTTTTCCTATGCCCTTTATTTTCAGCTGACGCAACATCACGGGAAATAAAGTCTGTCGACTCCGGTGAGTTACATGTGTTTCAAATTTCAATCATTTCTTCACCAGTCTGTGATATGTTTCTTGTATTTTGCTGCTTCTGTTTTTTTGATCTGTTTCTTCAACTTTCGTGTCGCTTGCTTACTCTAGGTGGTGTTCTTTTTTTTTTCTCTTTTTTTTTTCTGTAGCTGCCACTTGCTTTTTTTTTTTTTTTGTACTTTTTTGAGTGATAAGTTGATAGAACACGAAGTCCAGTAGCACGATTTCTTGAAATGAGGCTTAACCTTCAGCCCTCTTCTTTCCAAAGACGCTCAAACGATTTGGTTTCATACTCTATTCTTTCTACCTTACCCCTGTCGACCAAATGTTACGTTGAAAGCTATGTTACCAGGGTCGCGCAGCAGGACCTTCCCGACCGGGCACAACCCGGGCGGCACTGCCCTGTGGGTTACCCACCCGGGGTACCTGGGCGGGTCAAGTCTTTTTATGCAGATGACTCGTCAATATTTGGTGGTCGATTGTACCGAAGCAATCGAACCTTTGGCCTTCTATGTACCAGAGAGTTGCCCCTAAAAAATCTCAGCGTACCAAGAACAGACAATGCAGGCTGAGGTTGAGAACATCTCTCTCACATGAACCAGCGGCAGTGTCTCGTGCCAAAAAATTATTACCGCCAGGGCGAACCGTTGCAGACCAGATCCTGCAATAGTTGTCGGACCTTACTTCGCAATCAGGCCCTGGCATCGCCTGTCCAGAGGCATGTTTGGCTACGGTCATGATCGCTGTATCTAGACTGAAAGTTGCCCCGAATCCAGCTATAAGGACCATGCGTTTTATTTTCGAGGGCAGACGGTAGCATGTGGTCGACGTTCTTTGTGTTGGCTCGACTACGAGGGTATAGGCCGTGCAAGTTATTGTTCCATACCTATGATGACAGTCAATGTCGTGCTCCTGTACGGAGAAGCTACAGTCATTACGCCTGTGTTTTGGGCAAATTGCGGTCCAGATAAAGAGATATTGACCATACGTTCTAGGTCTCCTGTATATCGCTCACACTCATATTCCTTGCACTGGCACAAGAGTCCAGTCAGCGGTTAGGCTGCAGGAAGAAAAAAAAGAAAAGTTGCCGAGAAAATTGAGCTGCAAAGCAGGCGTGGCCTTCATCGCACTACTTCAGCAAATGCACAAAAGACAAAAATTAGGGTCGTGCATCTGTCCATGCTCCAGCAAAAGGTTTGTTCTCATTTTGCACAATTGGTGAGTGGTGCGGCGAGGCCCTGTGTCACCTGCAGACCGGCCGAGATTGGGTCAGGTGTGGACTGTGGAAAAACCGTAAACAGATGCTACATACAATGAACCACACAGATCTCTGAGTAGTCGTGTACAAGCAGAGAGCACAATTGCGCATAGAATCCATCCAAATAGAGCAACACAATGAAGTAATGAGCCAATGTTCAAGCCCATAGGCGACAAGCGGTTAACGGGTAGCCGAAAATTCGGGAATTAAAATCCTGAAGTGAGAGTTTTGGGCAGTCTGAGAATCTCGAATGGTCCTGAAGTGGTGAAAGGTCCGAAGACCTTGAAAACCACCTGTTTAGGCAGGCTGCATCCTGAAGTGGTGGAGTGAGAGTTTTGGGCAGTCTGAAAATCCTGAATGGTCCCGAAGTGGTGAAAGGTCCGAAGACCTTGAAAACCACCTGTTTAGGCAGGCTGCATCATGAAGTGGTGAAGGGTGTCTTGAAGTGGTGATGAAAAATACGACTGTTGTTAACCTTTTCTCACGTGCTGTGTTCACACAACAGGCTCACTTCGACTCTTGAAGACCAATGTACATACTGTCAATAGCCGACCTGTCTTCATGCACCAGGTACGTATCTCGTCACCCTCATCAGACGATACCCCACACTTCGCCTCCTTCCCTGAAGACCACCAGATCACCCTCTTACCCCCTGGCGCCCAGCAGCCTGGCTATGGCTGCTTCCGCCCCGCTGCCCTGCAGCGCCCCTGGCCGTAGCGCAACATCAAGCAGTAGCGTAGCAGCACTTCCGCATTGGCTACGCAGGCCAGAATACCTTGCCTGGGCTGCCTCACTTCCTATATGGAAGTGATAACCTCTTGGATGCTGCGTGTGGCCTGGCTGGAAGCTTCCAGTAGCTTCCGGTTGGGCCTCAGTCCGTGCGCCCAGGCCCGAGACTTTGGCTTGGGAACAGGCATGTCTCTGTGGTCCAGGATATCGTCGACGTCCACGTGGCCATCCATGGTTGGGGGCAGTAAAGACGTTCGTGATGGGAACTGTGCTGTCTCAGTGAAAGGCGCAAGCTTGGAGACGTGAAAAACAGGGTAAGTGCGTAGATGACCAGGGATACGAATGACGTACGAGGGACCATCCAAATCATTGCCAACAATATCTAAGACTTCCCAGGGATCGAAATACTGAGGCATTAGTTTCCTAGAGATGCCAAACTCATGTCCCAACTCACTAGCCTTGACCCAGACACGTTCCCCTACCTGAAATGTAGACTGTTGGGGATGCTTGTTCTCAGAAGCAATCATGGCTTCCCGGGATTTCTTGATGTGTTCGATAGTCTGCTGCAACAATTTCTCATACTGGACCACCAAATTCAGTGGTTCCAGGAGTTGCAGCATATCGGTTTTCAGGCAGGAGGAAGTCTAGAGCAGATCTAGGCTTCCATCCCAGATGTCGTTGATTAGGACTGATGCCGATGTTGCTATGTATAGCATTGTTATATAGACTGGCGATGAGAGGTAGTTTCTCATCCCAGTCATCCTGGTTGGGCTTGATGTAATAATGCCTCAGCAGATGCTGCACCACACGGTTCATTTGTTCAACCTGCCCATTTGCCTCGAGATGATTCCCAAAAGTCATCTGAAGCTGGTTGCCCATCTGTTCAGCGGCCTTCCACATCTCACTGGTAAACAGGACATCTCTATCATTGACAATGGTCTTTGGCAGTCCAAAGTCACGCACCCAGTTGTCCATGAACAACTTAATGACGTGCTTAGTCCAGGCAGTTTCTGGGATGGCAATTAGTCTAGCATATTTAGTGAACCTATCCACTATGACGAAGATGTGCCTATTGCCATTCTTGCTGGTCACGAGAGTATCCATGAAGTCCATGGAGATACTCTGCCTTGAGCCAACACGAATGGGTAGAGGCTTGAGTAACCCAAGCGGAGCTTAAGTCCGCGGCTTGTCCCGCTGATGTACTCCTTTGCATCGTCCAAGATGTTAGGCCACCAGAATCACTGTGTCACTTGACTAAATTAGCACTAGTCTTCTTGTAGCCGAAATGTCTTGTTGCGTCGTGGCATTCACCTAAAAATAAACTATGCAAACTTGTCTGAGGTGGCCTTGTCTTTGGCTTGTAGTTTGTTGATAATGTCCATTGTGATGGGATCTTCTTTGTAGGCGTCCCCCAAAGATCGAGTAACGTCCTCAGACAAGCCAGACTCAGAAATCAGCGCACCTAGGTAATCTGCCCTTCTAGACAACGCATTCACAACCTTGTTGTACTCTCCCTTCACATAGTCTAGTTTGAAGTCATACTGATCTATGACTTCAATCGAGTGTGTTTGAGTGCATCGGAGAGAACTGGTTGTGTCTTGATCCACTTGAGGGTCTGATGGTCAGTTCTCAAGTAGAAGAACCTCCCTAACAGATGGTGCCTCTAGTGGACAAGTGCCTTGTAGAGAGCGTAGAGTTCCCTCTTGTAGGTGGAGTTTGCCAAACTTCTTTGATGGCATCTTTTTACTCGTATACTCGACCGGTCTCAACTTTTTCCTTTCTTGCTGAGCCAACATTGCGCCAATGCCATATTGGCTTGCGTCAGTGGTTACAACGAATGACCTTTGTGGGTCGGATACCATGAGAACTTCAGGGTATGTGAGTGCATGCTTCAAACTCTTGAAGGCTGCCTCACACTCGTCGGTCCAGTCCCACGGCGTATCAAGTCGAGTTAGATCAGTGAAGGGAGATGTGATCATGCTATAATTCTTGACGAAATTGCGGTAATAACCACACATTCCCAAGAATGATTTGACCTCAGTCATAGACTGGGGTCCTGGCAAGTCACGTACGCTAGCCACCTTTGCATCTTCGGGCCTAATCCCATGTCCGGAATGCAGTTTTGTGCCGATCCTCTGGTCTTATGGCAATCTGATGGTAGCCAGAGGTCTTATGGCAATCTGATGGTAGCCGGATTTTAAGTCTATCTTTGTATAGTATTTACATCCCTGCACCCTATCCAATAGGTTGTCGATGTGTAGTAGAGGCTCTGTGTTCTTAACGGTGATGGCATTGAGGTCTCTATAATCAATGCACATCCTTAGTGTTCCCCCTTTCTTTGGAACAAATAAGACTGGTGAGCCAAAGGGGGAGGTGCTGGGTCGAATCCAGCCCTTCTCTGTGAGCTCTTTCAGTTGTCGCCGAAGCTCGTCCAACTCGTCAGGAGCCATCCTATAGATTCTCCCTTTAGGTGTCTTGCTACCTGGGATGATCTCTATGGCATGGACAACCTCCCTGTCTACGACTCCTGTAGGCTCCTCAAACAGATCAGGGTACTTGGCGACGATGGTCTCTGTCTCTGGGGGTGTTTTAACGGCCTCCCCTTTCGCAGAGACAGAGACTAAGTACATACCTTCCTCTAGGTTCTGTTTATAATAGTTATAGAACGCAGGTGCGCATAAGCACCCATAGGAGTCTATTAACCTACTGGCTTTCTGCTTGGCCAGTCTAACGGTCCTCCCATTAGGTAACTCCTGCTTTAACACCTTCTTGTCCTAGTCAGACTGGGGCTTGGCAACCTCGAGGTAGTACATGCCCAACAACATGTCGAAAGGCAAATTGTCGCTCACCAGGAACGATATCTTATGACGTATCTCCCGTCCTGGGTAGGAAAAAGTGCAGATTACGCCCTTCACGTAGTGTTCTACCACCGTGCGCTCTTTGTTGGCCAAAGTAGATGCTACCGGTCTACTAAGGCGCTGCACCCGGTCCTTTAGGCGCAATGTCTCAATGCAGTTGCGACTTATGAAGTTTTGCGTGGAGCCAATGTCTACGAAGGCTCCGCACTTGTGGCCACCCACACCAACTTCCACAACGAAGTGCTCCCCACTAGGACCTCTACTTAGTGCCACCCAGGACTCGTAAGGGTCCCATGCCGACCACTCACCTTGAAGGTCCTCTAAGGCTTCAAACACATCCAACGTACAGAGTATAGGTTGGTCCGGATGCGTCTGCGGGGTGACTAAGGAGTCGATAGCTTCGCCCAACTTTTGAAACGGGGAGGGTACATTACCCGCTTCAACGAGAGTAGAAGCAGCTACAACTTCTACTAGCCCTAAGTGTTTCCCGAGCTGGAGGTTGTAGAGGCCCCAGACTGAGAAGAAGGATACCCACCCTTAGGCGGGATCTTCTGCGAAACCTTCGTGTTCTTGCACTGAAACTGCTGATGGTCGTACTCGCCGCAGTTTATGCAAGCGCCACGCTGCCAACGGTCCCACCACACTTCTTGATCCAAGCCTGCTCTAACCCAAGCAGCTATCTTGTTTGGGTTAGCGACCTGCCCCTGACTCCTTTGGTGACCGCCCTTGCGGCAGCCACCTGTCTTAGTTTTGACTACTGCGGCGAGGTGTGTATGTGCCCAGGTGCAACTGTCAAGGCCTGGGCCAACTGTATGATGCAGCTTAGTGAGGCTCACGCGTCCATTCAACCAACAGGCGTGCTGCAAGAGCCTGAATACCCACACTTTGACGAATATTCAGGCCCGCCTTCACTTAGGGCGGGCACTCGGCTTGCTGAGGGCCTTTGCCCAGAATATGCGACGTCTGATAGGGTCCCCTGAGGGCTTGTTGCTCGCACCAGTCTCTAGCAGCCTGCTCTGCTGGTGAGTATTGAGGACCCAATGAGGTTCCTCTTTCCCCTGCTCTTCTCCTCCCTTCTCCCTCCTCCCTCCTCTCTCCTTCTTTCCTCCCCCTTCCTCTTTTCCCTTTGCTTCCCCTCTCTCCCTCCTCTCCTCCCTCCCGTCCTCTCTCCCGTTGTGCAGAACAACTGAATACATACGAATGAGCATCACTGAGAGAACAGAGAAAATATATAAGCTGTAGATGTACTGAAAATGTGGGGGTGCAGGTGCGCTGAACAGAAAATGGGTACATACTACACAGACGTGGCGGGTCTTGCACCGTTCAGAACATTAAACTTGATTTTAGCTATCAAATTATAACAATCGATTAAAATATAAATTTTTTGACAATAGAAGATTGTAAGGTAAAAGGCTGTTTCAATTTTGGATCTCCTTTTAGTTGGAAAAGGGGTTTGTTCTGTTGACAACTTTACAGTCTAAAATGCACACGCAGTCAGTTTTTATTTTTTTCCCCCTGTGAAGTTGTGTGTGTGTGTTGAACATGCCAAGACACGTTCATGCATGTCCATATGCAGGTCCGAGGAAACAGTCTGGGAAAGTCGTGCTTCTTTTGTGGAGTTGTGTATATCGATCATAACAACACAGACACACACACACACACATGGGTGTGTGAGTTGGTGAAAGTTCAATGAAACGGTCATCCAGACGTGTGTATATTAAACATGAGAGAGAGATAGAGATAGATAGATAGATAGATAGATAGATAGATAGATAGAGAGAGAGAGAGAGAGAGAGAGAGAGAGAGAGAGAGAGAGAGAGAGAGAGAGAGAGAGAGAGAGAGAGAGAGACTGGTTTCACTATCTTGTTCTGGAATCTGGACTGCGATTACGGTTGACTCGTCCAAATTCTGAAAAACCTGGCGGGCAGAGAACAGCAAGAACCCGACTAGAAAATCTGACGAAATCCTTGTGAATCCTGAGAAGTGGTTGGTCTCTTTCTTGGTTGTGTTTTTGTGCTTGTGGTTCAGAGAACAGCAAGAACCTGACGTCTGATCTCTGGCGCTTAAACCAGGTTTGTGCGAATGTACGGAACCTTGTTGTTGATGAAAAATGATCTTAAATTTAATGGAAATTTGAAAAATGGTTTTGAAGTTTGAACTTTTTAATAAGTTTTATTAATTTTTGAACTTTTTAGTCATCCTTCCATGGAGATCTCTGCATACGACCCGGCGGAATTTCTGGACCGTTCTTACGGTTGATCCTCGAGGAGCGCAAAGTGTGTGATACTCCAGGTAGACCAAATAAGAGGAAGTCCTCTCTGTCGCGAGTGTGGCGATGACATCTCCGGTCATGTCTGTCCACATCAAAGTCATGAGCAAGATCCGATCTTATACAGTCAGCGAGAAGAAAGGCAAAATATTTGAAAAAACCTGTAAATTAAAACAAGAAATAGATATCAAGTTTTATCATCGAAGATTAAATTTGTGCTGATGTGGTAGTGAGGGCATACTCACACTAGAAGACTATTTCAACTCAGCTCTGGACGTGAGTGTAGTCACAGGTGCATCCGAGTCCGGCCCAATCCAAACATCCCAGCTCTTTACCTAAAAGAATTTAAAGAATGGATATTGAGACCAGATTCATTTTGGTAAAAAGAGAATTAAAGACTGAGTTTGTGCTTGATAACCAGCTAACGGTAGTCTCTCGGACTATTTCCTTATTTTGCTTTTCAAGCAAATAAAAAGGCACAGCAGAGTTCTTAAGCAAATTCAATCAGAAATCAGATTCAATAAAAAACTAAATTCAATCAAAAATTGAAAAATCAAATTCAATCAAAATCAGTCAAATTCAGTCAAATTGAATCAAATTCCAATGTTCAATCAACTTAAATCAAATTCAATCAAATTCAATCAAATTCGATCAAATGAAATCAAATTCAACTTATTGTTCAAGAGATTCAATCAAATTCGATCAAATGCAATCAAATTCAACTTATTATTCAAGAGATTTCAGCTTTAAAGCAAATTCAAGCATATTCAACCAAATTCAGATGAATTCAAGGAAATTCAATGAATCTGGTCCAACAAGATGAATCGTGTGAATGCTTGCAACTGCATATGTGCACAGCACGCTTGTGCTGCTTTGTGCGGTGGCGTGTAGTGTTGAAAAAAAAGGTGCGGCACATAAAATAAATGCAAAGCAGGATAACCCATTGGATGTCCGGATCCTGATCCAGACTGACTGGATCCGGATGTCCCGGTCCAGGGTTCTGTCGAGAAACGTTGAGATTGGTCTCCCAGCAAAGGAGTTTTTCACAAGAAAAAGGGGGTGTCTGGGATGATGTTTTGGGTCCTTGCCCGGCCTTAACACCCCTCCCCTCCCTTCCCCCCCCTTCTTTCCCTTTCCCCCTGTTCCCCCCCTTCCTCCTCACCACCCAAAAAAAAGACAAAAAAAAAAGACAAAAAAAAAAGAGAAAAAAAAAGAGAAAAAAAAAAAAAGTAAGTTCTCGTGGGACCCAGTAACGGTTAGAAGTCGGAACCTAAAAAGCAATCCTGCACGGTATCTCAGGCGTCGTTGTGCAATCTCTACGAGGAAGGGGGGGAGGGGGGGGTAGAGTAGCCAAGGAGGGAGGGAGATGGCTATGGGGACTGAACTCGACCCTGCACTTGAGCCTGAACTTGTACGTAGCTCAGTATTGATACTTAAAAACGTTTTGGAAGTTGGAAGTTGAAACTCGCAACTCGAAATGTGTATGGAGTCCTATGGACTGGGCGGGTGGGGAGGAGGGTAGAGAAGCCAAGGGGTAAAAGCGGGGGGGCAGAAGGGGGGCGGAATATTTTTTTGGGGGGGGTAGGGGGACTGAACTTGACCATGGACTTCTAGGCAGCTTGGTGTTTTTTGATACTTGAAAGTATTTTTTTAATGTTGAAACTTGAAAGTCAGAAATTGATCGAGTTATGTGAATTTGTAAACTTCTGCGAAGTTTTATTTCCATGCCTGGAAAAATGACAAAGGGCTGCTGTTTTCATGGATGACGACAGTCATCATTTAGAAAAACATTAAAATCTTCCACCACCCCCCCCCCCCCCCCCCCCCCCCCCCCCCCCCCCCCCCCCCCCACCCCCCCCCCCCCCCCCCCCCCCCCCCCCCCTCCCCCCTCCCTTAATTTCCTCCCCACTTTCCCAGTAGAAAATTGTCTTAACGGTTTCTCACTTGTCAACTAGCTCAGTTGGTAAGGCACACAAGTGGCATTCAGGAGGTCTTGAGTTCAAACCCCCCATTGGAGTCATGTACCTTTCTGGGCATGCTTGGCACCCGCTGCCTAGAGAAAGCCCGTTGGTCCCCCCAATTGGTATTAAAAAGCAGCCTCTGCTGATGTTCATAGGGGGAGGGGTAATCGGGGAGGCACAGCTATTGGCCACTCAGATGATGCTTGGTCCCTCTGCTACTGGCTGTCCCCTGGCCAGTGTCACCTCCCCCACACATTGGGGGTTGCCTGAAGGCATTAAATAAAGGCCACCCTGCGGTTTCAGATTAGACACAAGATTCAGTGTACCTGGGCTGGTTAGTCTGATGATAATACCTCAAGGCCATCGCCCTTTTTTTAATAGAAGGAAGTTGTCTAACTGTTTCTCACTTGTCAACTTGACATATTTTTTGTTGACAGCTCCAAAAACACATCAGTTCGAGGAAGCATCCCTATCACAAATTCGGAACGGGTGAGCGGAAGACTTCCTTCCTTCAATGGTCATTCTGTCTCTCTGTTTTTTTAAACTGTGTTAAAAAAAAAATTAAAAACTTTTTTGAAAACTTTTTTGTAACGTCAGGGTTTGAACCCTGGACTTCTTTGTCCAATAGCCACGTATGTGTGTAGTACTGTGTAGATGCCATGTATAATTTCGGACCAGCAGACAAGAACCCACTTACTCATTTTGACAGTTTTTAGCCTCTCCGACGGGCCTCTGTGGGTCTGGAAAATAAAATGGATGGATGTGGTCTTAATGTACGTAGTGCGTATTGATTGCACCGAATGCATAGGGATCTGGTAATGGTCCTGATACACTTTCAGCGTGCTGGGTCAGTCCCTAGTGTATCTTGATAACAATGCAGTCCAAGTCCAAACACATTTTAGAATCTTGTGTTGGTGGAGCAAGGCCCGAAGCTTTCGGGTTCGAGTCCTTTAGCCCACAAGCGAAGAAAATGTATTCCTGTTAATTTGTTGCCTATGTGCAGTTTGGGTCACCCTGACATGTCAGCAGACAGCTCTTTGCTGACTTGTCTTCTTTTTGTTTTCTTTTTTTTTTAAAACCGAATGTCGACTTTATTATTAGTATAATAATAATAAGTTAAATAACTGGATTACTTGGCTGTCGACTTTCCTTGTTTTTCTGTTGGCTTGATTACTTGGCTGTCTGCAATTGACGCAGGGAACTTGAAAACCCTGAAGACGGATCCGGAGTCTGCGGGGGTCGATGTCAGGCAGCGAATGATTGATTTCTACAACGACCATTACTCCGCGAACCTCATGCGGCTGGTTGTTTATGGCAGAGGTATGGGCCCCACGCGAAACCATTTTCACTCGAATCTACTCTGCTTTGTGTGCCGTTCACGAATCACCTACCTAGTAAATGCTCCACTACTTTTAGGGCATGTTCACACTAGGCAGGGGACTTTTGACTGCACTCTGGACGTGAATTGCAGTCAGATGCATCGAGGTTTGGCCGTAATTAATGCCAGATACATTTCTGAAAATATGACCTTTAGACTCGTTTAGAGTTCTCTCAAACAAATTAGGCTAATTGATTGTAGTTCACATGGTCCTCTAAATCATCAGACTTTCTTGCGTAGTCGTCTTCAGCTGACGTTCACGCTAGCTGATGAATACTGCTACCATGATTTTGTTATCAAGAATGGCGGTTCATTGGGGTCGATGGAAAGAAGGCCGGGTGGAACGATGGGAAGTACATGATGTGACTATTTCCAATCGGACACATCCCGCACCGCGTGCTGAGACTCACACAGTTGCTTGAAAAGATTGAGCACACACTGTGTTCGACATTTTGTCTTTGCTGTTGTAACCTTTTCGAGCGACTATGCGTCTCACCATGCGTGTATGTGCCCCTTGTATTCTCCGCCCCCCCCAACTTGCCCCTTGGCCTTGTTTAGAGAGCCCTAAACACTGAACTAGAGAACACATTCAGACGGCTGATCATTTGCGAAATTGCGGCCAAGGGTTAGACCACCACTACCTGGGCCTCGTTTTCACATTTTGGGGTACCTGATTCTTTAGAAGGCCGAAACGAAACGACGGCCGCTGATGAAATTTATCAATGAAAGCCGTCGCACGGCCCAGCCGCCAAATTTTTAGGAGTAGGCTATTTTACTATTTTGAACTGTTTTCCCAACGGTGGGTGGGTTAAACAACATAATTGGACAGCTGATCATCTCGGGCTAGGGCAGACAGCTGAGCATGTACGGTCAGGATATGGTTAGCAGCATATGTGCCGCGTCAGCCGAAATGCCATTGGTGCGCCAACAGCCATCCATTGATCAGAGGAGTGATGAAAAGAGCAGTAGCAGGAACAACGGCAGCGTGGTCTGGGCATCAGTGCTTCCTCCTTGGGTACCTTCTTGGAACTTTCTTGTGTCATTTCTTTGGAAAACTGTTGTCTTACGGGTATTTGCGTTCATGGGGACTAGTCCTTGTCGCTTCCACTTTGTCCTCCTCCTCCTCCTTGAATAATGGAGCATAAAATTGTTCAATGTGATGTACTTCATTGATGTTTGTCGTGGTCCGAAGAATTATGGTTATAAAAGAGTTTGGGATAGGAGGGAATAAAAGAAAGAAAAACAAAGAGGAGAGCCCAAGCGGGCTAGCTCAGTTGGTTGAGCACTTAAGTTGCATTCAGGAGGTCGTGGGCTCGGTACCGATGTCGTCCTTTCGATCCCCGCGGCCTCCTGGGGATGTTTCGGGTTCACCAGCGGAGGTTGTTGGCTTGGGCCTCCTGGCTGGTTGTGGAAGGGATTGGTCCTCTCCAGTCCGCGCCAGGCGTTAGGAGCTTGGGTACTGCTCCCCTCACAGAGCAGAGATAGGTAGATGTGTAGACCCATAACCTTAGGATAGTGTTGTTCTGGTTAGTGAAGTGAAGATGGCCTTAGACCCGAGCCGTAGATTCTAACTGTAGTAGTAGAATTAAGGCTCGTCTCTCTTTTAGCATAGTAGGTAGTTCTTTGTAGGTACGTGACTATTAGGATTGTCTCCATGGCCCCAGGGTATAATAGGTGGTGTGAGGTTGAAAAAAAATGACGAGAGAAGAAAACAGAATAGTCGACCCAGCCCGCGCCAGGTGTTAGAAGCTTGGGTACTGCTCCCCGCACAAGAGCAGAGATAGGTAGGCGTAGACCCATACCTTTTGGATGGTTTAGCTCTAGCTAGGGAATTTAAGCCTTGTCCCGGATTCCATTATAGGTAGGATTCCATAGTCGAGCCGTCTCTAGACCGGGTGGTTGCCTGGCTTAAGGATAAATGAATTTCAGGGCTTGTCTGGGGGGTGGATGGTCCTTGCTTGCCCAGGGTAGGTTTGAAAAAAAAAAAGAAAAGGGGGGGGGGGGGGAAAAAAAAAAAAAGAATAGTCGACTCAGCTGTCCCTCGATGAGGAGAAGACAGTCTGCATTTCTTCTATTCCTTATTAAAAAAAAAGAGGAGGATGTATCCAAACTTAGAGCTTGGTACCTCGTGCTGTAATGAGATGTAGGAGAATGTGCAAGTGCTTGCAACTCCCTGCGTGCTTGGGTGCAACTCGCTGCATGCACGCTTGGGACGTCATCAACGATACGTTGTACTAATTAGGCGCCTGTGAATGGTGGAATGGCGCGAGGGAGGACATGAGGAGCCACACCCACAAGGCTAAATGTTGTTTTTTCCCCCTGATTGTCAGTAACAGAAAAAAGAGGAAGAACTTCCGAAGAAGGCTTGTATATATTTTTTGTCAAAAAAAAAAAAAAAAAGAGGAAGAAGGCTTTTGTATGCATTGCAACTGTGGACTCGACTCATTTGGTGTTGTGTTCGTCTTCCTTTTACTCTCAGGAGGAAGTGGTGTGGCTCGAGCTTCTTTTTGGTTTTTCTTTTTCTTTTTGGGTGTGGCCAATGGAAAGACAGCAAAATTTAATATTTACGAGGGGCCCACTGAGGGGCCACTTGGTTCCGTTTTTTGAACTTTTTTCTCACCGAGGGGTCAATGGAAAGACGGCAAATTTAGTATTTACTATTTATGTTTTTTTAACTTTTTTTTTTTTTTTTTTTTTTTTTGAATGGTGATTTGTTATCTTGTTCTGTGTGCAGAGCCTTTGGATGTTCTGCAGAACATTGTGACTGAAAAGTTCTCAGGTGTAAGGAATACAGTGCGGAGAGTACCTGAGTTTCCCGGGCAACCGTGTGAAGAAGACCACCTTAAGGTATCGTGCCTGTGCTATGTGTGCTCTGATGGTGCGGAGAGGAAAAGAGGAGTCAGGGGAAGGGGGAGAGAAATATTTCTTGTTAATGATTCTACGGTCAAATTTAATATTTACGGGGAGAGAAATATTTCTTGTTAATTCTTTCTACGGTCAAATTTAATATTTACGAGGAAAAGAGGAGTCAGGGGAAGGGGGAGAGAAATATTTCTTGTTAAT